ATATTTTTAAAGCAAAGTATTCTCCTTTTTTAGGATCTACAAGATAATCTCCTAAAATTAACATGTTTATTATGAGAAACTAAGGTGAAGATCAAGATGATCTGCCATCTCAAACCACTACTGGGTACAAAATTTAGCACAATTCTTTACCATTCTTTGATTCTATAGTCCAAAGTTTGTTGGCAGAATTATCCAGAAAGAATTGAAAAGGTGGACCATTATCAGGCCCATCGTCATCTTGCGGTTCCAGAAGAGCATAATCTTTATCATGCTTACAAATTGTCACATCTTTTTCAATTTTTGGTGGATGATCATTAAAATCTTCCAAAAGAACTACGAGTGTTCCAGTGCAAGATCGGCCAACTAGGAGATATTTTAAAAATAAGTTATGAAAACTTAGGAAATATATTTATTTTCAACAATTTATGTCATATACAGTTGACATCTGCTTTCATTTATCTTCCCAAATCTCAGACACTATTAATGTAAACTAGTGACACTCTTCTTAGAAGACCGGTGGCTGGATCAGATGATCTTTTCAGGTGCTTTTTTAAAACTAAAAGGTGTGAGATTCCAATGTCATTACAGAAACACCTGTTGAAAATAAAATTGATTTCGTACATTGTTTTATAAAAAAATATATATATATATTCACCCTTAGAATACAAATACTTTACATTTTGTCATAAATTACCTTCTCAGCATCTTCTCCTTTTCTACATTTATTCTTTGCTCAAAATTTATAAAACTTCACATTAAAACCTCTAGGTGCTTTATTTCCTCTCTGCTTTGGTACTTTCTGAGGCTTCTACCAGGAGTATTTTTCTCCTCTTCCTGGTAAACCCTATTATGGTTATTAGTATTATTGTCTGTGCTGGGGCTTTGAACCCAGGGCTTCATGCAAACAAAGCATGTGCTACCTTTGAGCTATATCTGCAGTCCAACCCAGTTATCTTTAAGAATCTACTAAAATGTCACTGCTTCATGAAACCTGTGACTTCTACAGACAACGATGTCACAACCCCCTGTTTTTCTCAGAACACTTTGCTCCTGCCTTGAATGACACACTAAATATTAATCATGTAACACAGTGAGTCACCTTATCTTGAGAGCCCAGTATTTCTTGGCTCACTGTAGCTTGAATGTTACCACATCAGACATAGTTTTTTATTTATTTATTTATTTTTATTTTTTATTGTTGGTCGTTCAAAACATTACATAGTTCTTAATATATCATAGTTTTTATACTTTGAAAAAAAATTAATTGAATAATTCAGAAAAATGAGTGTGTACTTTCACCCTAATTCAATCAATAATATTGTTAATAGAAACTCTCACTCAACTGCTGATTACCACCATTACTGTCCTAGTGTTTCACACATAAATCTTAAGAAATATGTCTAATTAAAATATTTTCTATACTGGGTGCTTTGGCACATGCCTGTAATCCCAGTGGCTTGGGAGGCTAAAGCAGGAGGATCATGAGTTTAAAGCCAGCCTCAGCAACTTAGCAAGGCCCTAAGCAACTTAGCAAGACTGTGTCTCAAAATAAAAAGTAAAAAGGGCTGGGGATTGTGGTTTAGGAGTTCAATCCTTAGTACAAAAAAATATATATATATATACACACACACACACACACACACACACATATACACACACATATATTCTGGAAGCTCACTGCATATATAAATATAATTTGAGTTTGAAAGACAGTAAAGTTTAAAAACATGTTCAAATTCTATCATTTGTGAAAAGATTACAAACTTCCATAAATAGTATGAGTTTGGAATTAAAACAAAAAATTATCAAATTTCTCATACTTTTTACATTGAATGCTGGTCTAAATATTGAAACATGTTGAATTTGCTATAAGTATAAAGTCTACCATAAATCATATCAAATATAATCCATTTTTTTCTTAGTTTGAAATGACATTTAAGTTATATCATGTTGTATATTTCAAGGAAATCTTTTTTTCTGTTAAATAATGACAAAATTTATTTAGTCAATATGACTTTAAACTTATAAAAGCTACAAAATAACTACTATATATATCATATACTATATGTATAAATATATATTAAACTAATCTTGCTGAAACAAGTTTCAAAATATCCAAAAATAAAAGAGAGATATACTATTAGGGAAAAATACCTACAATGGCATATAAATATTTTAAGGCTACCAGAAAATTATAAATAAATCTGAATATGAGTAAGAACTTCAAAATCAGCAAACTAACCAAAAAAGAAAATGAGTATTGTAAAAAAGGAGCTTTTCTAAAGTTAAAGAAATGTAGAAACAGACATTACACATGAGTTGATGTGTACTGATTTACCTTTTACACTTAATAAAACAGCCTTTCTCTTTATGGAGAAATAAAGAGCACAGTTTAAAAAGCTAATAAAAATATGGCAACCATAGGAAAACAAATCAAGATTCACTTAATCCTGTATTCAAGTAACATTTATTACATGACATCATTTACTATCATGGTCTGTTTTAAACATGCTGGTGAAAACAGAATAAAAGATGCTTGGAATTGTTTAAATGGATGTCTACAAAAGTCAAAACCAAAGCAATCAAAGTGCCTTATCCCTAGGAAATAGACCAAAAGTAAGTAACTGACAATTGTCAAATATCATGAAAAGGTAAATAACTACATTTGTCTAGCTTGAAAGGACAGAATTAAATGACAACTATCAGTGAGAAGGGAACATCACAGAGTCAGAGCTGCTAAGTACATGTGGACTAGGTAAAATTCAAACTGATAATGCTTCAATAAGAAGGTCTCTGGAAGCCATAGTTCTCCAGTGCTACTTAAATGTTTTCAGTAACTGGAAGCTCACTGCATCAAGAGCCAGCCTGGGAAGCATATAGAGAGTGTTTTAATTAATTGTTAGAAAGATTTCAGGTTCTTCCTTCTTAATCTATCACCCCAGATGTGGACAACTATAAAAATGATACATAATCCCATTAAATGATAATATAATATAGAATGGTAATGTGACAATTATAATTATATTGTTAATTCATATAATATATGAGCTCTAGATGATTTCCAACCTATTTTAATAGGTTGTGTCAAGTTCATTGAAATATTTACAGAATTGAGGCTACAACATGCCTCCTATTAATTTCCACATGACAACCCTCCTACATTTTCTATTTTAAGAAAATTATCTTTACAGAATCCCAAAATGCATTGTAAATTTTTGAACTCAATTTTCTACATTGGAACCAGTTGTTGTTCCAAATGCAAAACATGCCCCTGAAATTGTGTAGCTTTTGGTATTGAACTTCATAATGTAGTCCTGGAGATTTAAAGGACTCTCAAACAATGAGCAATGAGACATTTTGGTATCTGCATTGAATAACCTATGCCATATTCTATGCTAGATGAAAGAATGTTTATAAAAAGGGCGGTGGAGAAGTCTTTATTAATAATGGAGCTCATCATTATTATAATTTAGAGAAAGAATATACATGGAAACAATGAAAGTACCTTGTTCAGAGTAAAGACACGTCATATGTGATAATTAGCATATTAGTCTCACTGCAGGAATGTGAAAAGGTATTAAGAACAGACCAAAGATTAGTGGGCATGATCATAGAAGTTGTTATTGCCATTCACTTTAAGACTTTAATAGACCTGAATTTAAAGTAGGAGGGCAACAGTATTCTAGGTGGAAAGAATATAAAACAGTGTTTTCTAGATTGATAAGCAGGGAAATCAGCCTAACAAAGAGGATGCACACAAGAAATACAAGAACATGAACTTGATTCTAAGAAAGCTATAAGAATAACTAGGTTATCATCCAGAAATATTTGCAAGCTTCAAAACAAAATCCTTGCTATATATATATATAAGCATATGTTTATATATTTGTATAATACATATCTTATATAATGTTTATATGTTCATATGTAAATATAGATAGATAGATAGGTTAAAGTTCAAAGGAGCAAAATCTTCCATATTGCCACATGATTTTTCTATTACCTAGGTTAACTATGACCCTGGGAGGTAGATTAATGTAAACTTTTAATTTCCTTGTACAATGTTCACTGTGGTTATAAACCATGCTTTTTAGCTCTAAAGAGCAAAGTTAATTTTTTTATACTTTATTCTGCATAATTTTTTCCTATGATTCCTACTTTCCATGGCAACTTGACTGGTACTTTGAACCTGATAGAAGAATAAATGAGTAAATAGGACTTCCTATTTGTCATTGTGTTCCTGAACCACTTAGACTTCATTTTTACTCACAAAAGAAGAGTAAATAATCCAAAATTATAGAGTAATAGTAAATTAACAATATTTATTAGGGAATGTTTTCCCCATTCTTTAGCAGGTCTTTTTCCCCTCAAATTGCATTTAAAAATTATATTAAGAATATGTGTATTATTCCATCTAACTCCAGTCAGAATGTCAATCATCAATAATCAACAATAAATGTTGGAGAAGATATGAGGGTTCACTCATACATTGCTGGTGGGACTGCAAATTGGTGCAACTACTCTAGAAAGCAGTATGGATATTCCTCAGAAAACTTGGAATGCAACCACTATTTGACCCAGTTATCCCATTCCTAGGTTTATACCCAAAGGACTTAAAGTCAGCATACTACAGTGATGCAGCCACATCAATGTTTTATAGCAGCTCAATTCACAATAGCTAAACTATAGAACCAACCTAGGTGCCCTTCAACAGATGAATGGATAAAGAAATTGTGGTATATACACACTATGGAATATTACTCAGTCTTAAAAAGGAATGAAATTATGGTATTTGCTAAATTATGGTATTTGGCAAATGAATGGAACTGGAGAACATCATGCTAAGCAAAATAAGCCAATTCCAAAGAATCAAAGGCTGAATGTTATCTTCAATATGCGAATACTAATTCACAATGAGCAGGCAGGGCTAGGGAAGAATAGAGGTACTTTAGATTAGAAAGATGGGAGTGAAGGGCGTGGGGGGTATGAGTTAGGAATGATAATATAATAAATTAGACATTATTACTCTATGTGTATATGATTAAACAACAAGTGTAACTCTACTTCATGTGTAACCAGAAGAATAATAAGCCACACTCCATTTATGTATGATGTGTCAAAATGCACTCTGCTGTCATGTATAACTAATTAGAAAAAATTTAAAACATAAAAAATTCAAAAAGAGTATGTGAATGAGAAGTATCAAGAGGAAAGAAAGATCATATGTAGGTGATTCATTCATCATATTCACATTTAGGGTTTCTTTCAAAGGCAATTTCAGATTTTTGAAGCCCAAATGTTTTAGCTCACAAAAATTGTTCTTTAGCTTGGTCAGCGCACTAATTAGAGTGTGCAACGTGGTATTTCTACACCAAGGGTCAAAGGACTGAAATAAGGATAGATGGGGCAGATTTATGTCTGAGTCAGCTCCCCTTCTCCATATAAACTGCAAGCACCTAGCATCCCTGTTAGTTTAAACCTTTTATGTCTCTCTTAGTAGATACGGCTTTTGTTTTATGTCAACAAGAAAAAAAAAGTAGGGTATAAAGCTGAGAAAACAGCATATTTTATGTAGATGAAAACAGTGGAAACCTTCTTGGGTCAGGAAGATAGTCAAAAGAATTGGCTATGTTAGAAAAGCTGAAGTTCATTATTATTTGTGAAATTTTTTTCCTCTAATGAGTAAATATATAATTGCCATGATGAAGTAAATTAGCATAACTTCTATTTATATTTTTGGCACTTTTAATATTTATTTTGTGTATTTCTATGATATATACAATATATTAGCATAGTAGTATATGTATACAAATAAAACATTAGCAAACACTTTGCAACATATTTACAAACATAATGAAATTGATTTATTGATATAAGTTCAAAAAGGTTAAAGATCATTACATTATTTGAAGGATGCTCTTTACAGACTAGTTCTTAGAATTAACCTTAGAGATTACAAACCATAGCTTTTTATCCCTTCTTTAGGATAGAGGATAAATGATTTGTTCTCCATTAAGAAAAGCTCAGAACAAACCTATCTGGAACTTAACTGTTGTTTTAGGAGGGTTGAAACTATTTAGCATGTTCAAATCATAATAATCTAAACCTGCATTTCTGGAAAAAAAAATAGAGTTCCTTGAATAGGCCACTGTTTCCTCAGAACTTAGACTGATCATTTATTCCCTTGTAGCTCTGCATAACTGATGCTTGGGAGCCTGAACTGGGTAGACTCCAATCATAACACAAACATTGCTTTTTTTTTTTTGCAGTATGCCTATGATTACATTAATGCAAACATGGCTTGCATTAACTTTCGATACAGAAATGAACAGATTCCACCCAAAGTTTACTTAGAAACATACCCTACTTTTATATTTATTTCTAGAAAATGGCACTCACCTGCATCTCTTGCCACCACTGAAACATTGTACTGATTGTTTTTTACAAATTTCGATTCTCTATCTAGGACTTTCACAGTCCTCAAATCTCCAGTGTTTTCATTGATTTCAAACCAGTTATCTTCATCTCCCAACTTCTGATACCTAATTTTCAGAAATCAATATATAAAGGATGATACCCAATAGCAGACACAATCTTACAGTTTGTCATTTTGAAAAATACATAGAACTTTCCTAAATTTGCAATCCATTTACATCCCACCAGACTAGCACCAGGGTGCATTCCTGTCATCCCTACAACTCAGGAGATTGACACAAGGAAGATCACAAGTTCCAGGCCAGCCAAGGCAAATTAGATTGTGTCTCAAAATAAAATAAAAACGGCTGGAGATGTAGCTCAGCAGCACAGTGCCCGTGGGTTCCATCCCCCAGTACCAGAAAAGAATTTTAGATTTCAATAAAAATGAAGGAGCTTTTTGAAAGGTACCTTACCTTAAGCCTTCACCACTGCGTGTTTCTGGGTCCAGTGCTTTGTATCCAAGGAGTTCCTTACCAGCTGGAAGGCCATCTTTACTCTGTATAATTTTCACTGGTGGCTCGCATTCAGGGCCCTCATCACTGTCTTTGATTTTCACAGTCACAGTGGTAGTACACATTGAGGGAGGAGTTTGCGAGTTTGCCGCTTTAGTGAATTCTGCTTCATTAAGTACACCGATTTGCAAAACCACTTGGCGATTGAGTTCATAGTTCAATGGCTGTTCAATAAACATAACTTTAATCAGTCAGTATATACATAACGTGGACTTATGATTTTGATTCCAAGTTTTAACATAAAGTGAATAATCATTTTCACATTTAAAATGTTACCAAAAGCTGTTGCTAATACAAAAACTAATAATTAGCTTTGCAAAATAATAAATGCTGTCCAACACAAAATTGTTGTTTTTGACTCAACCAATGTTTCTTCTTACTTTTCTTTTAGAAGACCCTACCTGAAATATGACTAGAAATGCAGAAGAAATGTTTGAAAAAAATCAGATTATGTCATTACCTATCATATGAAATAATAATGATACATGAAATTCTTCCAGGCTAATGTATAAAATAATTTGATGAGATTTGGCTACCATGCAGCTGCATCTAGGTCAAAAGATGTCATTGTATTACTTAGCAGCATCTTTTTAAACTACATGAAATTTAGGTCTGTTTAGATTATAATCAAAGTGCTCAATTCTAACCTGAAGAATCAGAAACACTCTTGAAATAAAAGTTAAATGATAAAAAAAAAAAAAGAAAAAGAGAAATCTAGAAGAACCAAAAAAAGAGAAAGAAAATGTAATATAATAATTAAAGGCCATTTTGTGGGAATCTTATCAGGAAAACAATTTCTACATAAAGATTCTGGGAATATCTGTTGTCTTTTAGAAATTTATGATGGAGAATAATTATGCAAGAGGTTGGTGAGGCTATGGATAGAAGGGCTCAGAAAGGAACCAGATGAGTAACTAAGATTACTTCTAAGGCAAATATCTGATACAATATTCAATATTTCTCTGCCTTGATTTTCCTCATATGTAGAGCAATAAGTTTTATGCCTGACATGACTTTCCTCTAAGAAAATAAATGAGGGTAAAATAATAATAGGAAAGATTTCAGTACCACACAGCAATATTCGAGTCATATACATAAGGAAATATTAATTATTTTTATCAGCACACAAGCTTAAGTTTGAATGCCTTAAAACATGGTTATTTTATTAATTTACCTTGACAACACACAAGATTCCCTCATTTGTATTTGGATCTGTGCTAATTTTGAAGTTTCCATTCTCGTTTCCCTGTAGGATTGTGTACACAGCCTTTGAGTGAGGCGTGTTGGCCAAATCTAGGTCATGTACTTTCATCCGTAAAACCACCACGTCGATTCTATTTTCTTCTACTTCTGTAAAATACTGAAAAGCAAGCCTTTTTAAATTAGAAATCTATAGCTTTTACAATATGGTCTTATACTCTAAAATTCATATTTAAAGAAAAAGAGATATGGAATGTATACCCATATGTTGGGAAATAACTTACAAGTTTAATTCATAGCTTACTTATTTTCTCCTACATATCAGATATGCATATATCTGTTATATTTATGCATAAATATCATCTATATCTGTTTTTATATTTATGTCTATATATCTTACATTGTTTACTGGGAAAGTTTGCTCAAAAGTGATAGTCTGTGTTAAGTAGTGAGTCCAGCAGAAGAGATAAAGCTAAACCATTTTTCATCTTAGAACTTGAAATGTAAAGACTCTTCTATTTCTTCACCTTATAAAAAATTTAAATCCAAGCAATCTGATCCTGGAGCTTAGCAACCAAGAAAATGTTGAACACATGAGCCACTTCAAGGGTGGAAAAGCTCTTGGGTAGCCACAAGCATGGTTATTTCCATAGCCTTCAGAAATGACTGGTACTTCAATTGTTTTACAAAAATCATATTTTTCTCTCTATTATTTGTAAGTGGAAACTATTTAAGTAAAAAATGCATTATCTCCCAGAGCTATCAAGTTCCATATTTGTCATTTTTTTGAAAACGTAAATGCATCCAGATAAATGAATACAGAGATACACTCACAGAAGTTTCCGTGAAATATGGTGGATTGTCATTTTGATCCTCAAGTGAAATGGTAATTGTTCCTGTATTAAATAAACCAAAAGGTTGACCTCCCATGTCTCGCACTTCCATTACTAACTTGTAAGTATCACATTTCTGAAAAAAAAAAAGGAAAATGGTACATTGATGAACACTTCTATTTCCTCTAATTTATAATTGTCAGAACTACTCTTTCTGCTGTGATTATTTTACAAATATTTTGCAAATATTCATGTTCAAATTATACACTCTCACACACTTATTTATTTATTTTGATACTAATAATTGAACCCAGGACCTTGCACATACTAAGCATGTGTTTTACCATTGAGGTAAATACAGTTTTTAAAAGGACACCATAATATAAATACAGAACAAGAGACTGGCCAATTCATACAATGGGAAGCTGATGTTTCTAATATAACATTGCAAAATCTAAAGATACTTTATTCATAATTGCCAAAACGTCAGAGAAACTAAGATGCCCTTTAGTGGGTAAATGGATAAGTAAACATATATTCAGACAATGGAATATTATTAAGTGCTAAAAGATCTGGGTTATCAAGTCATGAAAAGATATGGAAGAAACTTGTATGCAAATTATCAGGAAAGTGAAGCCAATCTGAAAAGGCCAAATACTGTATGACTCCAACTATATGACATTCTGCAAAAGGAAAAATTATGGATTCAGTAAAAAGGATCAGTAGATTTCAAGAGAGAGGAAAAGGAAAAGAGGAACAGGAGGAGTACAAAAGGGCAGTGAGATCACGCTATATGATGAATGCCTGTCCCTACAGATTGTCACAACCCATAGAATGTACAGCACCAAGAGTGAATCTAATGGAAATAATGTATTTTAGGTAATAATGATGTGCTGGTCTAGGTTCATTGTTTATAACAATGTATCTCTGTGGTGCAAGATGTTAATAGGGCAGAAGGCTATGTGTCAGGGCAGGGGATACCTGGGAACCATTTGTATTTCTATTTAATTTGCCTGTGAATCTAAAGCTGCTTTAACAAATCAAGTTTTTTAAACTTTTAAAAACTACATCTATTGGAAGTCAAATGAAATTACTTTTCTTAAAACCAAAATAGAATAAACAAAACAATTTTAGCACCACCGCATCACATTAGGTAAATAAAAGCAAGTGAGACCTTGTCTAACACCTTGTGCTTTCCCATTGTCTTTGTAGAGCAAAGGGAAGTCTCCAGAGAAGCCCTAACCCTAGTCCACAGAAGAAAACTAAAGAAGGGGCCACAAGGGCCATATTGCAAATTGTCTTGGGAGTTAATTGTCAGTTTACATGTAGTTTAGTGATGGAAAAGTTGATCAATTTCTTACCTCTCTATCCAGCAGAGGTGTAGTTGTAGTGATGACACCTGTATCTGGATGTATGGAGAAATGCTTTGGATGATCAGGGATTTGTTGTAGAATTTTGAATTTCAGACGAGTATGAAGGGTTCCAGGTTCATCATTGTCTATGGCAGTCACTTGTCCCACTGAAGTTCCTGTTAGATAAATCAGAAAAGTTAAACCCTTTTGTTTATAATATAATCAAATTATAAACAAAAGGATTTTTTAAACAAAAATAAAATTATAAAAAAAAACCAAGGCATTGCTATAGTAAACTGTCTAGGAAAGAAATAAAAGCACAAAATGATGAGTTTTACAGATAATGTGAGGAATGTATACATGTTCTACAAGACTTCTCCAAGCCCCATATCTTGAACTCCAATTAAGTGGCTACTGTGATTAACAGGATTTGTATTCTACATATACCAGAACAGGTCCTACCCTACCTTTGGTCACGGAGCTTACACTTGGTAACCATAGTTCTAAAATTCTTTCTAACATATTATCCCAGTTCATGGACTATTTTTGAACAAGACCTTCTTTGAATACTCTGTTTTATATCCCTATTTAATAATGCTAATGAAAGAAAAAGTACAACTTTGCATGTAACAAATGTTTTTATATTTTAATAAACAGAGTTTCTGAGTTATTAATATATGCAAGTGATTATTAATATAAGAAAGAAATAAACATTATGCATTAGTCTGAGTAACTTTTAGACAAACTTCACAGCCCAGACATGGCTATGAAATGCTGTTTCAGCAAGCCACTGATTGTGAAAGACTAATATACATACATATGTGCCTGGTCACAGAATGGAGGAGGCCATAAGAAATCAGCATTTCTTGCTGATTCTTAAAATAAACTAGACTATGTTATTATGTTCTTTGGAAGGCTAGGTTATAATCTTGGCTTCATATAACATGAAACAAATTACTTTTTTTTTTCAATTTGGAAAATATGCCAAGAAAAGCAACACATATGTTGTTATAAATCTGGGATTTGAAAATCATAGGATTTTTATGCTATGATATATTTTTGGGTCCTTGAAAATATGTTGAAACTCTATAGAGCTTCCACTTATATATTGTTTTATAAAACACTTGTGATCACATATACATGGCAAAAACTGAGAATATAAATATTTGTCTGTTGCACATTCAGATCCAAGATAGAAACTTCACATATTATTTAGCAGTCTTCTAAATGTGCATAGCAAAGTGAACCTCACAAGGTTTGCCTTTGAAAACTGTGTGATCTTATAAAACTAGAAAGTTGTACATCGTTTATTCTTGAAAGTCAAGTGTTTTTTAGTATTCTATCATTTTTAAAACATTAGTAAGAAATTCAATTGAAGTTGAAGTCTAGTGTTTTCCTAGAATTTCCATCCTACTAGGCACAGGTTACAAGTTTAGGATGAAATAAAGGTTAATATCCAACAGTTAATTAATAAAGAAAATCAACACTGAACTGCAAAGTTTCAATAAAATGTGGTATATATAATGTGTAAAAGTCTACCTATTTGTATTTCAAATATCAGTTAAAAAATATTCCTTGGCACCATAAAATGGAGTTTTGTTATATATGTTTTGTTATGTCACTTTACTTTGTTACTCTTCCTGAATTGGAAAGGAAAGTTGAATTTTTCCTACATCCAGCCTTTCAAATATCCTCAGGTGAATCATAATTTTAAAAACAAACAATGAATCTATAAAATAATAACTTCTCATTTTGCTGGAAGACAAGTGGTTTGGGGCCCATTCTTAACTTCTGTTTCATAGTCAGGATGGATTCCTAGCTAGTCCCTTAGGAAACTAAGCCACCTCTCTCCACAACAGAATTTCTAAGCATACATATCTAGACCAGACTCCATTTCAACCACAGCCAACCCTACAAAGAACTGAGTCAAGAAAATATTGTCAGAATTATAAAGTCATGATATAAAAGGGAATGCATATGGAATAAAAGGGAACGCATATGGAATTCTATTTACAAACTTGCTCAGAACAGTTTGAGCTTTAATAGGGATGTCATATAACATTAATATCCAAGGAAGAATACGTATAGTCAAAACCACAAAAGAACCTCTAAATGTAATGATAAAATCAAACATTTTATCTTATAATACCAAATGTCAATTAATCTCCTTATACCCTTATAAAATATGAACTTACCAGATCGGCAATTTTCAGGCACGCTAAAAACTGTCATTTTGGTTTCAAAATATGGGGCATTATCATTATCATCTTCAACTTTGAATAACAAGGGGAGCGGATAATCTGGTGCATAGCCATCTGCAGTTGTTGCATAGCCATATACCTAAAAGGAAGAAGAACGCCTCTGGCTTGTTCTCAAATGACAACATGAAAGTAAGCCTAGCAGTAGGGCAAAATATGTCATTCAAAAAATAATCCACAAGGGTTTCTCTAACTAATAAATGATTCAATGGAAAGATAACACCCAGGCACGGTGCATGCCTGCCATATGGCTTCAATCCCTTTTAGGTGTGTGTGGGTTTTTTTTTTTTTCTCCTTTTCTCATTAGTCTCCCACCAAGTACTATGCGTGCCAAGCACCATGGGTTCTACAGGTGTTCTCTGAAATAAAGGCATGCTGTTCTATTTGTTAGAATGTATGTAGATTTCTTATTCAGATATTCTAATAACAAGTATTTTTTTAAGTTTATAAACTTTCAAAGTAAAAAAAGTTAGAGAGAGAGAGAGAGAGAGAGAGAGAGAGAGAGAGAGAAAATCACAACTATCTCTGGGTGATATCTCTACCGGTTGTCATTTTTCTATCATAAACGTGCATTTTTCCTAATAAAAATGCTAATAAATGCATACATGTATCACAAACTCCATCTCAAAGTGATATATCTTGACCTCAACCGTGAGGATTTAATGTTTTTTTTCACATTCAAATTATTTTTTGCAGTTTTCCTATGTGATTTGTGTGAAGTAAGCATTCAATAAATCATAGTTGTATTAAACAGATTTCCTTCACTGACAGGACCAGCTAAAGCTGCCCCAAAGTCAACCATATTAACGTCAATTCTTTACTACAGTGTTTCTTGATTTTCTTACTGTAAACATTTATAAAATGAACTAGGATTCAAATCCAAGATATCAAACTCTTCTTTTTCTCAAATTAGTTTTATTAATCAGTCATCAAGTTCTCGAGAGTGTTGCATTTTGTGCCTCTATCATCCATCTTCTCTTTTAAAATGATTCCATAGCAGAATAGATAATTAAATGTATATTGCAACATACAGAACAGATAGCTCTTTATTTCTTTACAGACTGGCTTCTAATGCCATATCTTCACTTCTTATGAATATGCTATAAAGTTAGCATGGAATTAATATGTTCTTTATCAATTATTTATTTTGCTGATGGAAATAAAAATCAAAATGGTTGTTAATGGAGTTGGGGATATAGCTTAATGGTAGAGCCCAAAGCCCTGAGTTCAATCTTCTGTACCAAAAACTAAAAATAAAAAATGAATTAGAAAAGAGCTTAGATAAATACTTTTTAATCAATTGTTTTATATTATTAGGAGTAAAATGTGTTTAATCTAGGAAATTTGGGAGGCAACATAAAATTATAAAGAAATTATATCACTGTACTTAATTATGAAATACACTAAATGAAATTTATATTGTTTTAAAATGTGCAATACCTTATAGAATGCTTTAGTGGACATTCTAGGATAGGGTCCAGTCTCCTTTGTGTGAATTACAAGGTCTTTAACTCTCCTATGGTCTGAGCTCTCCAACTTTGCATTTCACATTCTTCCCTAGTGACAAACTCCAACCAGAGTTTGTTGTATTGTTGATTTCTTCCTAACCAGTAAATCTTTCTATGGGGTTGTAGCTTCCTGGAACATTTAGTTCTCCACTCCCCCTCCCTATATTGTTACCTTCTTTCAGAGTTTCCTATTTGTGACCACCAACTTTCAGTAGTCTGCTAAGATCTCACTCTCTGGACTACCCACGTATGAGGTAAGTTTCTTTTACATAATGTCATTTAGCAAAAAACTTCTTTATACTCTCTTACAATTCAAGATTATAAGAGGTAAATCAAAATCATTCATCATCCTCCCAAAATACCACTGGGGATGTCTGCTATACATCAGATTAGGCATCAGAATGCTGAAGAGACATGTAAATTTGAAGTAAAAAAAAAAAGGATTAAATTTTCAGAAGAGATAGAATTTTTTGGATAGGATGAGATAGAAGACTGGTAAAGTTTTTCATGGCTTACTAAGGAAATAAAATGGTACCCAAGGATTTTTCATTACTGAAAAACAGTGAGAGAGAGAAAAGAAAAGATGCACAATGCTATGCCATGGTTTGAGGCAGCAAATGGAGTTAAAATGTATTTAAGATCACCTTGATTCCAGCCCAGGACAATTAAGTTAGAATTTCTGGGCATGAACCCAAGCATCATTTTTTTTTCTTTTTAAAAAAATTCTTATGTGATTTACTGCTTACAACAATAATTGAGAATAATTAAGGTATTTTGTTGTATGGAAATTTGAACTCAATACAATTTGTTGTCACTTCTCTAGAATTCTACAGAACCAAGTCTGTCCTTTAAAATGCTATCATTATATTTTCTATACCTTCCCTCGCCTTTATGTCTCTTATCTACTGACTCACTTTAGCAATGGCACTAATAAAAATTTGAAGTTTATGTTGAACATTAGTAACATTGCAAATATTAAATTAAGTATTTGATTTTTTTTAATTTGTAAAAATGCAACACCAAGAATATAACTCAACCAAAACTAAAGATATAGTTCTGAATAAATATTTCAGGAATCCTACCAAAAACTGATCATACTGCTCACGGTCAATGCTTCGAGTACAATAGATATCCCCAGTATCTTTCTCTATGTAGAACAAATTGAAGGGCTCTTTGTCCACTCCTGGTCCACTTATGGAGTAAAAGATGGTGTAATTCTGGGCAGCATCAGATTGGATCTATAACAACAAGTGACAATTTAGGAACAGATCAAATATATTGTGATGAATACCTTCCACCTAACTTATGAGTTTATTTTGTATCACTCTCTTGCTTACTCACCTATTATTATTACTTTTATTATCTACTAACCATTTCCCATGTTTTTCAACTTCTCATTTGCATTTTGAAATGTGCAAAGCCACAGATTCTGTCACTTATTTCACATTAAATTATTTTAATATCTTCAGAGCAACAAAATTTATGGAGTAATATGCCTTTGTAATTCCTATGCACTTGTTGTTATTTCTTTATAAAATATAGTACAGAGATTTTGAATTATTTGGAATTGAAAATTACATGATTAAAAATATTGTCAAAGTAATTCAACTTTGCACAATTAATTATTTAAAAACCTCAAAATTCCAAAACTGTCTATCCTTACATCTCAGCTATGTGGAAGTGAGACAACTTTACTTAGTAAACAGAAAGTAATGATGTTTTGGAGGATAAGTGTTCAAGCAAAAGTTGAATTATGCAAACTCTCTAGGCATATCCTCTATACATAAGCACTAAAAAGTCTATCATAGTACTAAGTGAATTTAAATGCAAAATATGGATATAATAAATTCAAAATGTAAAACCTGATTCTCACTATTTAAATACAATTTCTGGAAGAAAGTAATAAAGTATATTGGGTCACTTCTATGTGATCCTAGTTCTGATGAACAGATGATTCTGCTATCAATAGTTTAAAAGTTCTGACTCAATATACCGGGAAACATTCAAATGGAAAGTTTTAACAACAAAAAATCGTTTATACATATGAAACCAAATAAGATGAAACATACCTGCTGAACGTGTTGTGGAAATGGACCTAATGAGTTCTCCATCAGCGAACAAGGAATAGGAGCCCATCTCCTCTTACTGCGCTTGAGAACTCTGTCTTTGGTATGTCTTTTCTTAGATACCTATGTTTAATGAGAAACAAAGAAGTACAGCATTGTTTCTCATTCTTAGGAATACAATTTTCACATATACATTGGCATGGAGAAAATAAGTAAGGTCTATACCTTATGATGGATAATAACAATTAATAATATGATGGATAATCTCCAAAGAATTTTTGTTTTTCAATAATAACACACACACACACACACACACACACACACTAAAACCTTAGACTCAGCATAATCTCTCATTCCACCTGTTTCCTGATTTAACCAGTCAACAACCAGAAATTTATAGGCATACCCTTTATACATAAATGCTAAAATCTAACACAGTATTTTGGATGAATAAGAAATTTATAGTGCATTGGGAAAATGTCACCTTGAGATACTGTAGACATCCCTAAAAATAGATGATCCTTTAACAAATAAAAAGAATTGATTTTAGTTCATGAAGAATGGTAAAACCCAAATTTGATCTTTTTTTTTTTTTTGTACCAGGGATTGAATTTAGGAGTACAGACCACTTAGCCACATCCCCAGCCCTATTTCCTATATTTGAGTTGCTTAGCACCTCGTTTTTGCTGAGGCTGGCTTTGAACTTTCGATCCTCCTGCCTCAGCCTCTTGAGCTGCTGGAATTACAGGCATGCACCAACATTTTACCAATCTTACAATGTGAGCATTTTTATACCTACATAGAGATATACAACAGTGTTTGCTCAAAGTACATTTTATTTTAGGTAATGTGTTGATTCTTTGCAATTTAGATTAAAAAATATTCGTAAGGCTTGATCATATTTTAAACTCAGTGAAGAGAAGTTCTTGTAATTAAAATGAATTTAGCTGGGAGATACTCTTTTAAATTGATCACTTCTTTTCCTTTTTCTTTTTTAGGTCACTTATTAATGAATGATTTTATAAGACCAAAATCGTTGTGTTGAGTTGGCTAAAATGAGATGTGAATTTCCACAGCTTTCTCCATCCTCACTCCCAGACTAATCACTTCTCTTCACTGCAAGAAAATGAGGCTCCATCCAAGACACTCATACCAGTCTTCTGGCCTGATCACACCTCCAACTCCCTGAAGAAAGGAACCCTGTGGGATTGTCCACTAAGATGGGCGTAAGTTTGAGATCATCTCTTTTCCTCTTGCAAGAGACAAATATCCAACCCACAGTTGGTTGGGAAGGAGCCACACAGAGTGAGTGCCTCATCTCCAGGCTGCTTCACCCCACCTCCAGCTTGAGATGGGCCCCTCCCTCGTCCTTGTTCTTCAGGTGGATATCTCTTAGAACCACACCTCAAAGCACTCACGAAAACCTTTGATCCCCTGACTTTGCTACAGATTCATTCATTGCTATACACCTGTGTAAACAGCTGTAGAACTCCTAACAGTCTAGTCTTTGTAGATATTAATTATAAATGGAAAAAGACAAAAATAATTACTCAAGGAAAGTAATTTTAATCTGAAAGGAAGTGTAGGGAACGAAGGACTCTCATAAGGACCTTAGTATATGAAGCTATTTAAATCCTTATCTAGTATACCTTTTCTTCTCTTGCCAACAGTACGACTTCTATCTCCTTTTGTTCCTGCTTCTGACTGTCTGAGAGTAAAATGGAAAATGTCTTCCCTTCAGAAGACAAAAGGAGGTCATGTGTTGTGTATATTGAGCCATCTTCCAGAATTCTAAAGGCAGGGTCGCTGGACAGGATTTGGCTAGACGACTTGAGACACTCCTCCAGATTCACTGCAGAGAAGAAATTTCACAGCAATTTGTCAGGTGAAACAGGAATAGAACAAGTTTTACAGGAATGACAACTGAGAATTAATGCATGAGAATCAGAAAGGGTGGTGACAGGCAAGCACCTGCTATTCTAAAATGGAGGAGCCAAAATAATTAAATAATTAAACTAGTGGAAGCAGATTTCCCATTACTTTTCCTCGTGAATTAAAAAGGGAACAATTTTCCTGGTGACATTGAATCTGGTCTATTTCTTCCACTTTACCTCCTACTAACACGTTTGTACATACATGTGGAGATGGCCCTTGACTTTATAAAGGTGCAATAGCAATATACCTTCAATGGAAACTGTACTTGAATTGTGAATTTTAATTTCTTTTGTTTTCTAAGCTAGCCATATGGGGTAGCACCTTCTCTCGTGATGCTGGGCAGGTGTTCTGAGCAATAGCTCTTAGTGATCCATGTGAGCAGGAAAATCAATGGCTGATCTACAGCAGATATTGCTAAGATATAATGTTTGGCAGTTTAAGTGTATTAAATGCATTTTCCAGTTCTGAAATTTTCCATTTACAATAGGGCTATGATCCCGTTTTAAGTCAAGCAGCTGTGGATGATAGACAATAGATATAGATAGATCTAGTGCATACACATTCACAAATTTGTTATCTTATATCACAGATATTATAACTATGTGATGTCAGTAGATTTTACAATAAGTCTTTGACAGTTAAAACTATCTTGCAACAAGTTTATTGTTAAGCAATATTTCTCACTAATATTGCCAATAATCTTTTTATAATACCTTTTTGAGATTAAAGAAACTCAGCACTTAATATGTATTGATGACTACAGTGGTAAGATCCCCTGAAATTTTGTTTGACTTTCACAAGCTAGTTTGTGAAGTAGGTCATATACATTCTTGGTGGATACTTGTTCATTGTTATCAACCTCAAGTCCAAATTTTATTTGGAACATTTAAATTAGGAAGTATTCATTTCATATCTAATCACTTGGCATTGACAGCAGATTAGCTGATATGAATTAAAATTTGCTTCTGGTTTTGGTGTCTTGATTTGTTTGGAGTAATAAACTCTCTGATGTTTGCTAATTTTTTTGGCAAGAAAAACATACCAGTAACTGTTATTTTAATTATTTTTAACCACTACAAAAAACAAGTAGTCTATCTTTTATTGTATGGCCAATTTTAATGCCAAGTAGCTACTATGTGGCTTTTATCCCAAACTTCATAAAAACAGCCTGAAGCGAAATGTAGCAAGTTACAACTCTTAAATTCTCAGTATGGTTTTCTTACCTTTGCCTACAAATGTTTCAGCCTGAAGATGAGAAGGAACTTGAAGAGAAATTTTCTGACAAGCATCACAAAATAATATCAGAACCTCAAAAGAAAGAAAGAAAACCTAAGAATTGCATTTTGAAATACATTTTTACATTGCAGTTTTGTCTTATAAAAATATTTTCAATTTTGAAAGCAAATTAACCTTCTAATCCCTTCTTTTTTCATAATCATTTTAAAAATAACCAACAAAGAATGACTTTAGAGTCACTATAGTCATTGAATATCAATGGAAAATATCAATGGAACAGTTCATCTGATTCATATTGTATAAATGCAAGAAAATGTGTTATAATCCATTGACCTTATATGGAGTTTGTTGCCACTAACACCATACCTAAATGTTCTGATTATCTAGCCTGAAGAACTTATTTAACTCTAGAATTCAGTAATTACATTATCTGTACTGGTTCTCAAATCATCATTTCCACTATTTGAGGGTATATTTTCTGTTTTCAAATTACTTTTTCAGACTATCGTGGCAAAAACTTCTAAGACTAAATGATCTCAAGTCATACAACTAGTCTAAAAAGGACTATCTTTCAAAATATAAAGACTTCCCTGTGACTGGGTAAAGATTTCAAATTAAATTCAAGACACAGTTATTGTTTTAAAATCTAGGTATTTCAAATAAGACATATTATCTGAAAAATAAAAGTTATCCCTTTGAAGGTTTCAATAAGTCCAAAATATATTTTTCTTTTTTTCTTGGCACTTTATTTAATTTTTTTCTATCAAAATGATTGCATTTTGATTTTTTAAATAGACAGTAGATCAGTTAGATTTACCAGAACCATATAGGTCATTTATATGATGAAATTTTCTCCAAAGACGTATTTCTAGAATTAATGGACACATTATTTGTGTAGATGAAAGAATAGAGAGATTAATATTAAAAGATATGCATTTCCTTTCCAACTCAACTCAAGTCTATGGAATATATTGCAGCAGCCTGTTCAAAATAGACTGTAATTTTACAAATCTTTTTTTAGCCAGACAATATGAAAAGCTGGAATTTTAAAAGCCATACATGTTTAAATTTGTATAACCACTTATTAAAAAAGGAGAAATTTTTACCTATTTGACTTTTTATGTAAAGTAATGCTCTAAATTATATCCAAAGAACTTTCCAAAGATAAGGCCTTGTATTAGTAGTAATCTAAAAGTGGTCTAAATATATAAGGTGAAAAGAGCATAATTTACATGCATATATACATACATAGATATACATATATATACACATAACTGCATATACTTGTACATATACTATAAATCTATCTGTGTGTGTCTGTGTCTGTCATACGATGCATCTCATTATTTTTCCCATCCTTATCTTTTTTACTTCCAGTCCTAATGCCCCACCTCAGTTATTTCCCCTCTGCAGGTAGAGTCAACATAGGTTTCCCATCATTAATAGTCTTCTAGCCTTCGAGTTGAGTCAGTGACTAAGTAATTTGGAGGAGTTGTGGTCAGATACCTTTTTTGTCATCATGGGAATCAAAGATAAATGGGCACAGAATAAATCAAAAGATAAGAAGCAGGAAATAGGCCAAAAACCAAAAGCCAAAAGAAAAGTGTGTGAAATCCCTTGGAAATACATCACTACATTTTAGTTAATACTAACTTAAGATGGCCTCTGAGTCTCCCCGAGCCATTACAGGATAGGAAGTTCACCATCAACCCTGCACCATATATAATTTATATGCAAAAATATTTGTCCCCATACAACAAAACCTTCAAATTCTGAAAATATAAATGAAAATAAAATGTCTCCAAAATAATGAAAAAGAAAATTCTCAGTTCAGAAATTCTGGATAAGAGATATAGAAAAACTCCTCCCTTCCCATCCAAAAAAAAAAAAAAAAAATCCCCTGCAATTGCAAACTATGAAAAATTCAAGCAGAAAGAAGGCTAATGGTATTTTTAATAACTGTCACATTTTGCTTTTTATGTTTCCTAATTAAATTGCCTGTTAACTATGAGTTCTGCCTTTCTCTTCACTCTTCCTGTGTAAAGTAAGAAAGACCTGGAAAATTCATACCTTCACCCCAAATCCTTTTCCCATTCTTGCAACTCAGTAGAAGGAAGCATGTTAAATACATGAGATTATTTAAGGACAAAAGTAAAACTCAGAAACTTCTGGGCCAAATGCCTAAGGATTGAATGTATTCCACTACTTCTTAGGAAAACATCACAACAAGACAGAACAAGAGATTCCCTTGAAAAACTTTAATATCCTGGCAGCAGGCACTGGAACCGTAAGCTAAACACACCCCATCCTGGACCACAAGTCTCTCCACTCTTCTCTGAATTTTTCTTCACTCTACTTTTGTTTGCCCAGTCTGTCTTCCCTGCCTTCCATCCCCACCTCTCCTCTCTTTCAAGCCCAAACTAGAGGCAGGAAGCGGGTAGTGACATGCTTGAGTCCCTAATCCTCGGGTTGTTACTCACCAGAAGAGAGAAAAGGAGCTGCTTACAGAAGATGCTCCCTGGGGCAGCGGAGGCCACAGCCATCAGAAGTGGTCCCAATGGCCAGGGACGGTGACCAGACAATGGAGTAGCCTGAGATGCACAGGACAGCTAAGCAGATGCTGGCACTTGTCAAGATGTTCTGCAGCCACCTTGACAGTGCTAAGCTGGCGTTGGAAGAGAGACAGGAGGCAAGTGATAGATGTCAGGAGGAGCCGCAGGAGAATTGTTTTCCCCCTGTCCTCTGGTCAGTCTTCCTCCTTCCAAGCCAATGACCTCTGAATGTAAAGAGGTTTTCCTACAAGTGGGGAGAGTAAGGTACAAAACACCCCAAACCTAGTCACTAGCTCCTCCTCATAGCAGCTTTCAAAATTTCTCCTGCCACTTAACACATAGGCAGAAGCAAGAGGGAACACCCTGCATCCTCAGCCCTCCTCCCTTTACCCCCAGGTTGATGCTATGAAGTCCTCCCCAGTTATTACCCACTCCCACGGGCTCCCCTCCTTCTTGGCCTTATTAACCTGCCTTGCCCTTGGGTAAAAACGTAAATTGTGCACAAACTCCGTGCACAGAAGTGATGCTTCCTTGGCTGGCTATTGGCAAATCAGAGGGCATGAGCATGTGCAATCACATTCATCTGGTCTTATCTTGCCATCGAAGCATTTAGGTGTAGTCTGTCACATCGAGCACTGTGGCTGTGCCAGAGATCTGGCATTCCAGTCTACAGTAGCAGCTTCGCAGGTACACTGTCTGCTCCCTATTATTTTCTGTCTACGGGGGTTTACTCCTCTAGACATCACAAGGAACTCCCCCAGAGTGTCTCAACCTCATAAAAGTAAAATAATAAAGAAGTAGCTAGGATATGATTTTCTTATTGTTTGCTTTTTGTTACACACGAAGCCATATTTTTTGTTCTTATCTTTTTTCTTCTAGGATAACTACAATTGGTGAGAGCAAATCTCATTAGAATCACTCCGTTCACCTCTAATTACTTGTGCATTACAAGTTGTATCCCAGATCTCCTAGCCTAATGGTACAAGAATGCCATCATGTTTAGATTTTTCTGAACACCAATGACTTGTAATGACTTTAACATCACTTTTTTTTTTCTGTCACAGTTCAGTGAGCTCAATCATATCAGTGGTACTCAAGGGCAGAAATGGAGTTAAGGGAGGAGGTTAAATATTTTCAAATGTTAATGGATAACTTTTAGCTATAGAGAGAAAACTAAAATCTGTATTTACTGAACTACTGATATGAATCGGGAGCCATAGCAGGCATTTCAGTGAATCTTCCCAACAGTCCAGGGAGGGCTCCTTTTAGGAGATGATGGAACTATAGGATTGCAAAACATGTCCTTTGTCCATGAGCATAAAGTGGAGAAGTGGACATCTGAACCTAAATCTCAGTCACTGAATTGCTACTATTATTTTTGTCAGTATGTTTACTTGTAGACACTATTTAAAGATATGCAAAGATGTTAATTCATTGAACAAATACTTAAGGGTCTCTATACTAGGCTCTGTCCTTTGCTAGAGGAACACCATGCTCAGATCAAAAAGGAGGTTGGAAAGCTTCTGATGTTAAAAAACAGTGCACTTTCTCAAGGGGGATGTAAAAAGATCTTATAGCAAATGTTAAATATCCTAGCAATTAAGAGGAAAATTAATGGTAATTAAAGTCTTAAAGACTCAAGTAGAAGAGTTTATTTTAATATATGAATATTGCACAGTCTGTTTTCCACCACAGACTTATGGCCATGAAAAAGAAAGATGTAAATATAAAGAGCCACATGACACTTGTATTTCTTTAATGGTTAGCTTAAAGTTGATCAAGAAAGCATACCTTTCTATGGATTTTATGTGTTTTTTAGGAGATAGTAGCAAATTTCATAAGAATTGTTTTTGCATGGCCAACTTATAGAAAGGGCTGGTTATAAATAAATTCAAGACTTTAAAACAATCATTTGCAGGTAGGAGTATCGTCTGTCAGGTGACCCAATTTATTCTAAAAGACTAGACTGGTCAGAATGCTGCACTTTATAAATAAAGCCGCAACAAGGCACTTTGAATTCAATACACATGACCAAAGATAATAGAAACTACAGGGGTGAAAACAGAGGTGCAATCTTAGTATTGAGAAGAGTGATGAACAATGGAAAAAAGTCTTAGCTGTGACAAAAACTTCTTAGGTCCCATGAGCTTCCTGCAGCAGAAAGTCCCTTCAATTCCAAGGAACTCATAGACTTTATCTGGGTAAAGGCTTATTGAAAATTAGAAGTAAAGTATGAGCCTTGATAATTACTATAAATTATTTCTTGAGGCTGTTTGCATAGAATACTGATTAATTTTGCATAAAAGGACCACTCCCAAGTATTATCAAAACTGCTGGAAACCCTATGAAAAGAAAAGTTAGCACATATTGCAAGGAATTTAGAACTCTCTCTAATCAGCACATATACTCAATTCAAACTGGCTTTAAGAGAAACAAAGCAAAATTGCTTAGGTTGAAGAGATCTGTTGAGTCATGTAGCTGGAAAGTCCAGGGATATCCAAGACTCAGGAACAGGCTCTTCCCATCGCTTCACTCTGCTCCTCTTTGTGTTGTTTCATTGTCACTGATTTTCCAGTGTATAGGCAAAGACGGCCACCAGGCACTCCAAAGTTGCATCCTATTTGTTTACCGATTCGTTGTTGAAAGAGCATGGCTCGTTCCCAATAATTTGAGCAGAGCTTCTGAATCTTAAGGATCAGCTTAAAGGTCAGAGGTGATTCAGACCACAGGGGTCAAAGTGGCAGAGAAGCCATTACTCAAGGATGACAATGGGTTACAGACAGAAAAAAGTAGAAATAGTGGCTAGACAGGAAGTTCTATAGATTTCCATTAAATCAACCTTTCCTTTATTGTAATTTTAATAATACCAGTCAATAATCCATTCATGCTTTATTAACACCTTTTCTACTCCAACCACTATCCATGGTGCTGGTGACACAAAGTTGAAGACATCATCTCTGCCCGCATGGAACTTATAATCTGTTATAAAATTTGAATATTAGCTCAAGTAATTCATAGTATGGCTGGGATTAAAATTCTGATGAAGAGAATATAACAAATGTTTTATACTTATATTCACTTCTTGTTAATTCCTCAAATTATTTTTTTTTCTTTGTTGAACTCCAAAATCAAATGTTGGTAGTTAAAGTCCATCAATTTTTTTTTAAATCCATCATTCAACTTTGGAGGTCAACGAAGAAAATAAATAGCTGGATTTGTGGGCTAGACTGAAAGACAAGTGTTGTCATTCCCATAACAAACCATACTCAAAAGAATCATTCTCAATTTCTTTGCCATTGAACTAAAAGTAAACCCCATTTCTCAAGCTTTCTGCAGCTGGTTTGGGATGTGACAGAAATAAATAGCTATTGATCAGCTTCTGAATGGTGTTTCATGAAATACTTCTAAGAATTTGATCTTATCTGGTGATAAATGAACAAACAGGTTGTAATCTCAATGGTCCTGGTGTTGCTTTGCGGGTCTGCGAGTAAAGATGAAGAGTTAGACAACCAGTATTCCCAATGGTTACTATGAACTACCACTATTTCTTATGTACAGAAAAATGAGAAACTGCAACTTCTCTGCACAATCAAATAAAACGGTCTTTACTTTGTGGATAGAGAATATGGCAGATTGTATAAATGTTTGGTAAAAGTTTCTCCTCCTTTATGAGTTTGAACTAGAGTTTCTGAGACTTTTTGTCTGAACTTTGGCTATGAGTGTGAATGCTTACTAGTCTTTTTCCTAAGACATATGGAAGGTCTGAGGCACAGTGATAAAGGTGAACTTTATCCCAGCTTAGCCTGCACTGCTCTGCTGACTCTCTTGCTACTTACCACTATTCTGGAAGGTACCTTAGAGTAGAGTGTGTTTTGCTAAAGCTCAGCAGATGATATTAGAAACTGAATAATTTGTATTCTAGGGTATATGTTTCTGTACTGCTGTGTTCTGCATATTTTTTAGCAAAGAGGAGAAGGTGGATCCTGAGATATCCTCTGCCCTCACTGTTAGAAAATCATCCTGCTAGAAAGAGGTAAGTTATACACATTCACCTCATGAACAAGAGGTGATAGTAAGAGGTAAGTTATACACATTCACCTCAAGACAAGAAGTTGGGTTAAAATATGAGATTTAAAGGATCTATGAGGGACTACTCACGCCTATTTTATTTATTATTTCAGACTTGAGAGGGATTTTCATGCTTTGCATTGTTTGGATTTTTCTCCCTGTTGTAAAAATATTTGATACACACACACACACACTTTAGTATTCCATTTAACAAATGACAAAACTGTGAGGAAAAAGATTTGCCTAAATTGATACTAATAGTCTTAGGTCAGGCCAAAATTTAAATCTTTTCTTACAAGTTGGTGATGTATCTGGCTTATTGGTTGAGTAGATAACTTGATGAAAATAAGAAGTCAGCACTATAAGATAAAGCTTTTTAGAACTGGATGTTGGGTACTGTAGTATCTCAACATATTATTCAGATTGCTAAATTCTGCAAACCTCCTAGTGAATTTCAGTTAAAGGAAGTGGCAAACACTGGTAGAATTTGAAATATTATTGGTTGCATCCTATATATTGTCAATGTTTTGTAGACAAAACATGTATTAGAAAAAAATATTTTCTTAACCATTATATTTCCATTATACTTCATCTATTAGTGAATTGGTAAAGTGTGTAAGAACTTTTACATTTCAGATATAGTGTGCAATGTATATGAATAGAGAAAGAAAAAGAAGATAGAAACCTATAAATATTTTTAGCCTAAACCACATTAAGACTACATCTCTCCACTTACATTTGTGTTAACTGTGGTTTCCTTTATGTAAATGGATTAAAAGTGATTAACATTAAACAAAAGAAACTACACCCATAAAGCATACTCCCTTTATGAAATGGCCTCAATTAGCCACTGGGCTCAAATCATTATTGCATTATGATGCTTCTGCAATCAATTGGTAACAGACAATTCTCCTGCAGTGGGAGTGTTCAGGGAACATGAGTCTAGAAAATGCTGAGGTTAGGAACTCCCAGATTCCTGTCTCAGAGTTTGGATTCAAATTAGAATGGGTGGGCCCAGTGCTTTTTCCAGGTTCTCAGTGCTTTTGTAGAATAAGTCTACTCTTTTAAAATAATTACCTGTATCTAAAACATTGTGAAAAAATGTGAGAAAAACAAAAAGAATAGGAAAAAAAACAATTATACCTTTAAAATGAGTACAATACTGCTAAAACAGAAAAAAAACATGTGTCAAAGAAAGAACAGAACAATAAATATACAATCACATGCTAAATACAGGTATAGAATCAGGCATTCAAAAAGGGTCATCCAATAGAGACTGGGATATTGACAACCATCACA